TCTCTGTTACTGTATAAAGAATAAGAAACTCCTTGTAACACTCTAGCACTATTTTGACTTGATCAACCAGAATGACAATGAATTCAATGCAATCTGATTGTCAACCTGAACCTATATACTATACATTATACATATACATTTAAATACATATATTATAACGAAAATATGTATAAACATTTAACTCACATTCATGTTACTTAAAAATAAAAACAAAAACTATATTATTAAAAATCCATAAATTTGTCTATCATAGTGAAATTAACAAACAATAATCATTTATCTTTTTCCTATATGTACATACCTTTATAATATTTAAGAAACCCACCCATACACTTTACTCATATATAAGTATGTACATATATGTTATGCATATAAATAAAACTGTATTTTTTTTCGTCATTGTTTTAATTAACCACAAATCAAAATTTTTTACTATCCAAACAAAAACTTTCGAACAAAATATCTTCTAATATATTATTTTAGGTATATCCATATATATAGTTCTATAAATACACATAACAAACCATAAATTAATTTTTGTGTTAACTCAAAACCATACTAAAAATTCACATTTTATATCCACTTGTTCTTTCGAATAACAAAACCAAAAACAAAAAAAACACAACGGAAAGTCCCAACAAATTCCTATATCTATGATCATAAATTCTATGACGTTATAATATAAACAGGATTCTACAACTAATAAAATTCAAAAATCCTTGGAAAAAAAAATCCTTTTTTATAACCTGTTTGTTTTTTTAACTCAATAAAAAGTTAAATATAAAGTTACTCAGGGATAAAAAAAAAAATCGAAATTTGTTTTTTTTTTAAGAAACTAAAAAAAATAAAATATAAAAATATTTTTGCTTAACCAAAGTACAAAAGGATAATTTATACTAATACGCTAATATAAAGTCGAAAAAAAACTGGAATCGAAAAGGTAATTTATTTCGATGTAAATGCCTTTTTATATTTTAATTTCTTTTTTTATTTTATTTTGCGAATAACAGTGTTAAAAGACTGTTAAAAAGTCCAACTTACTTGTTTTTTTTTTTCATTTGCATTTGCAAAAACAAGCCCTTTTAACGCGATAAAAAAATTTTTAAGAGTTCCTATAATCCTTGTAAACATCATGTGCATATATATACATGTACACGTGTATGCATTAGTAGATTCCATGGACATAGTGTAAATGAAATTAATCTTTCAGGTCTTAAATTATTTTATGGGTATGCAATATTAGTGATTATTGATTGAGAGAATTATTGATTTCAGTATTTTGAAATTTTACAAAATTTTAATATATTTGAATATTTTTTAGTGATAGTGTGAAAAGTTTCCATGAAAAGATGAGCTTTATAATTAAAGGATTATGTAAATGTAGACAACATACTTTAAATAAAATCTTGAACGAAATCAAAGTATAGCTTTAAATAATCTTCAAAAGAAAGAGCTGACAAAAGAAGACATTTAGTCAAAAAAAAAAATGATATCTGAATTTTGGTGTAATTTACAAGACATATTATACACCCATATACATATGTACATTTCAGTCAAGATATGAAGAGGGGAGGACGGTTCATATTTCAGCCATTAAAGGAGCTCAACAAACAAAAAATTTATAAAACATGTATTCATGTGTTTAGATTGCATGGCCTCCCGAAGGGTACACTTAGGCCACCTAGACTCATTGTGGTGCCACCGGATCTCTCTCCCCTCCTTCATTAGAACCAGCCCGAGTTCCTCAGAAACTGGTCAAGGTCCCTACGTATGTTTATATAGAAAAATTTAAACTTTGTGAAAGATGATTCACGGGATAATTAACCCTCAATAAATTAAAATCAAATTTTGTCATCTTTAAATTTTCATTAAGAGAACTGAATATTTTTCTGTAGCGATGCCCTTTGTGTCTAAGAATTATATGAGAGCTGATCGAGGATAGTTTCAGAAAATAACCCAAATATGTAGGTATATATTATTGCCAGTAATTCAATAGGATTTTATCAAACCAAATTTCTTCAAAACATAAAATATTCCAATATATTGAAATTTAATATCATAATTCGCAAATATGATTTATGACAAATTTATTTAAAATAAATTTAAGTTAAATTTTCTCTGAAACTTACACTAGTAATTGTATATAAGCTATTAACAAACACAAGATTATATACAACTTGTTGTATAGATGGTAAAATTCAAGTTTCAGTTTTCCTTATTAGAGGACATCACAAATATCTAATAAGCAATCCTAATCTGCATATTTTAAGAAAGTAAAAACGGTATAATATTGTTGATGGGCCACTACTCTAACCAATCAACCCACTAAACTATGTTCCTTTGCTATTTCTATTCGAAAATAATTTTTTAATCTTCATTATAAAATTGTCTAGAATAGAATGCACAACATAAAATACAATTAAAATTAATTAATTTTATGATTAAGCTATCATTTTATAACTAATTTTATAGCTAGCCATGAATGACAATTAATTAAGAATTAGATTTACCTTTGTTAATCCCAGCAATTTCTATAAAAATAATATTTCTTTTTTTAATTTGACAATTTTTATAATGCAATCTGGTCAAATTCCAATTAACTATAATTTCAATATAATTATTAACATAATTTTACTATTGTAGAAATACCAATAAAATACTTTTATTGATCATAAATTTTCTTAATTTCAATTAAATTTAGTGTGTGTTTCTGTCATATCCTTTCAATCTATCATAATTTGCATATGTCCTAAAATATTTCATTAAACAATTTTGAAAAATAAATATAAAATATATTTTGATATATTTTGCAGCCTAAATTTTATTATTTAAATTAAAGTGAATAAAATAATCATGATATGTATAAATGTATGAATGTTTTAGACATATTTGATTCTGTGACATACAAATTTGTTGGACCAGGTAAAAATATCATAATTTTACAAGACATAATAATAGTATATATATATAAATTTAAAATAAATATTTCAATAACAATAAAACAATTATTCTGCTTTACAAACTATAAAGACAATATATACTGTATACTGTAAATATATAAAGTACCTACCTATCTATGTCTATATTTATGTATTATATATGTTTAAATTTAAATCTGATATTTTTATACAATTTTATCGTTTTTTAATCCATTTCATAATGTATTGCCTTCCCTCTTTAGCTTATCACATTCATTAAATTTAAATATCTTCGTACAACATAATATTTTAGTTACAATTCTAAATAGCTAATATACATATATACATTGTAAATTAATTCAAATAAACTTTCCTTCTACATAAATAAATTGTATGTATGTACATACATACAAATTTATAAGTATAATCAAAGCTATCTAAAATGGTTTTTCCTAATGTCCTTTTTATATACCCATTTTCTATCCATAATATTTAATATGATTTTGGATTATAAGAAAAACTAAAAACAAAGCAAAAGAAACCAAAAAAGAAAAAAGAAAATATTAAATAAAATTTCACATCGTTAAATTTGAATAACCATCCTTCCAAAGAGTAAAACAGCATCAGTTAGCCTATGTACAAATACGAGAAAATTTCGAACAAAAAAAAAAAATAAAATAAGAATAGTAAAAATAATAACAAGAACTGAACTTAAAAGGATAACAAAGATTTTGTATAATGATAATTTACGTTTTATGGTATTTGATATCATCTAGACTTCTAGAGGAATTAAAATAAATAAAAGCATCTCGGTTGAAGTTTGAAAATCCACTAAATTATTATATTTTTTTTTTATTGGTAAATGGTAAACCAAAATATTGTTAAAGGACTTTTTTTTTTTTTATAAAAATGAATTTTTTTTCATGAATAAAATTGAAAATATAACAATATTGGAAATTTAAGGATATTTTCTCTTTAATTTATAACACTTTTCTAAATTTTTATTATTTGTACTAAATTATGTTTTTTTTAAAAGGGGAAAATTATTTTCTCTTAAAATATACTATAACAGCTGCATTAACATAATTTTTGAAAATCTCTTTAATATAATTTATAACTTTAAAATAATTCTCTTAAAATGTTAGAATTTCGAAAAACTGTAAATATTTATATGTAACAGTAATAATACACTCTTTTTTATAATAGCAGCATTGCAAAATCTTTGTTAAATAGAATGAAATAATTTTAGTTTCAAATTATGCTTAGGAAACTGATAACTTAAACTCTTAAACTTAAAAATTCTTATTAACTAAAAAAGTTGAATGGAAAATTAATTAATAATTTTAATATGAGTTGTGAAATTAATTGGTTCAAACTGTTATATGAATTTGTTGCACGAAACATCATTCTAAAATAAATAGGAATATTTAAATTAAATAGATTAACTAATACAAACTGCAAATTTCTTTTTGAATTCAACAATTATAACTAAGTTAATAATTTTATTCTGTTTATACTGCATAATTGAAAGAATTCTCCAATCAAAATGTCATTTTCTGCTTTTAATACTCTTCCATTTCTTACTGAAATTAAACATTTTCAAAATACATATTTGTTCTATATGTAATATGCTAAAAATCCTTCTTACAATAGTTTATAGTGCTTATTAATAAAGGAAATTCGCTTTCAATTTATATTATTTAAATTTATCTAACGCACTGCCATCTGTTAGAATTTTAAATACATAATAAAAATGATTGTATATATGTATATACCTACATCCTAGCACCTAGGATATTAATGTTCTTACTTTTGTGTTGTTGTGTTGTACAAGAACTTCGGAAACGATAAATTTATGATGCTTCCGTAAGTCAATTCATATTTTTCTTTAAAAATATAAAATAAATATTTTTTATTTCTATTCAAATTTTTGATCCAAACTATAACTTTATATTAAAAAATCAAAAATAAAATCGCTTATTTTAATTATTAACTCCAAAACAAATTAAATTCCTTAATTTATCTATTCTAATTAATGTTGAATCTCATCACTTTCTCTCTAAGTAAATTACAATTTTAAAATTGAAACAATTTTATTAAAATCGTAAAAATTCTACAATAAAGAATAACAAACTTAAAATTTAACAAAAAAAAATTAAGCCAATGAAACAAAAAATTTTCAAATTTTTACAATAGCTTTTCCGATATTTTTACCTTTTAACATTTCTATAAAAGCAGTTGGTATATTTTCGAAGCCTTGTGTAATCGTTTCTTTGTACTTAATTTTTCCCTCTTTGATCCATTTCATCATCGTTTTTATAGCTTCAGAACGACGATGATTCCATCTAAAACATGCAAATCCTTCGAGCTTTATGTTTTTATGAATTATTAGAGGTTGAATGGCAGGAGCTTTTGGCATATCATTTAGATCCGTATTATATGAAGAAATTGTTCCACAAATAGATACACGACCAAACTCATTCATTTGACTAATAATTAATGAACTAATTTCACCACCAACATTATCAAAATAACAATCAATTCCATTTGGTGCTGCATTTTTAAGAGTTTGGAGAATATCACAAGTTTTATAATTGAATGCGTAATCAAAACCACACTCTTTAACTAGCCATTCACATTTATCATCGGCGCCAGTAAACCCAATAACTTTACACTGCTTGATTTTGGCAATTTGCCCAACAAGGCATCCAACAGCACCAGCTGCTGTAGTGATTACTACAGTTTCTCCAGGTTGAGGACGACAAATTTCTAAAAATCCAAAATATGCTGTAACTCCTGGCATACCTAAACAACTTAAGGCATATGAATGGGGTACTGATTTAAAATTTGTTAAAGGTATAATATCATTTCCACCATTCTCCACAAAAACGGTATGACTCTGCCACCCGAAATCTCCGCATATGATACTTGAAACTGGATATTTTGGATTTCTACTATCGATTACTTTAGCAATTTGGGTTCCGATAATTTTCGTACCAATTGGGTATTGATTCATAAAAGCACGAATATACGGATCCACACTAACAAATATTGCTTCACAAAGAACAGCTCCATTCTCCAATCTTGGTAAATTAAATTCTTCTAATTTAAAATTATCCAAATTTGGTTCGCCTTCAAAAGCTTTTGCATATATAAATCTTTTCCCTTTAACCATATTATAAGCGAATTTCAATAAGCAGTTAAATGCACGGAGACTAAAATGTGACTACTTGGTTCGATAATAACAAGTAGTAGATATGCAAAAACGTTTATCAATCATAGCATAATCATATAACAGATTAGATTATTCCGTGGTTTACTGCTGTACCATACATACACAGTATCAAAAATTTGATAAAATATTTTGATAACTCTCAATCATCACAGAACCTAAAACAAATAAATATTATTATAAAAACATTTATCGTCTCTTTCCTTCTTCCGAATAAACATAGCTATTGTAAATTAGATTTCACTATTTATTTTTAACAAAATATAATAATTAATAACTTTAAAGAAATCGAATTTCTTATGAGGAATAAAAAATTTTTAGTGCTTAATTTCTACATTATTTAATTGTTTTATCAGCATAGTTTCAATATCATCTTTAAATAAATTGGATGATAAATCCAAAGTCTGAAAAAATAGAAAATATCGTATTAAAAGCTTTCAGAGTGATCTACTTTTACTACCTTTGCGAATTGGAATGAATAAAATTTTTCAAGTGATCTGTTTTGTAAACAATTATTACTCAAGTTTATACTATCAGCTATACTAAATACATAATCATATGGAAGTGAGCTTAACTTCAAATTAGATAAATCGATCATTTTAGAAATATCACCATTTTCTATCCATTCTTCAATTTTTTTCTCTACTTTCCACTTCGTGGCCAAATCTTTATAATAACCCACCCGTAAGCGATCTACTATCTCCAACTTAGCTAAATTCTCAATTGACTTCTCAAAATATGCCCTACGATCTATTGCTCTCATTAGAAGGGCTGCCGTTAATAATGTCCCTTTAACATTTAAATTCTATATGAATATATAATTTATTTGTAATTTTTAATTCTTCTTACATTTGCTTTCAGGTTCGTATTCCAAAAGTTCTTCACAGGACATCAATTGTGATCTTAGTTGATCTTTAAGAGCGGCGCCGAATTCATATTCAAAATTAGGACATCTTAGACCACAATATCCGTCAGTCACTTTTTTAACATTAATTTTTAAATTAATTTTACCATCATTACTAGTACATTTAACTTCAAGACAGCTATCTAAATTCGAAAAATCTACACTTTCTTGCAAAATCCATACATTATCATACTGGTGTTCCGAACGTGCTGAACGAAAGTTTTTGGATTCTAATATAATAGATCCAACAGTAACAGTGAATTCATTAATATCAATGGATTGGGTTAAAGATAATACCAATTTGTCTTTAGTTACTCTAAATGCTGATATATCCAATAATGGCTTGGAATAACCTGAAATTTTTTTATATTTCAGCTTCAATGTATTTATTACCAATTTGAATTTAAGTTATTTACCCAATAACCATCTCTGATAAAACCATGCGCTACTATCATTAGGATCAGTAAATGCAGCTGTTAACACCATTTCTAATTCTTCTTTTAATATTTCCTCACTAATCGGTCTAGTAGGTTCTGTTGGATGTGGATGTACAATTGGTAACAATTTACTGCGATAATGCCAAGAAGAATAATTTGAAAAGTTATTTTTAATTTTATCGGTACAAAATTCTAATTCTTTTTCCGGCGAAATTTTCGCCTTTTCAACCACATATCTACGATAATCCCAGCAATGAACTAAAATTATAAATTATTTTATTTATTTTTTATGCACTGTCATTGGACTATTACATACAATTTCTCTCGTCCATTTTTAAGTACTTTGTGCACAAAGCCACCTCTTTATTCCAATCGGGCTCTGTAGAATTTTCAAGAATCCAACATCGATGATGCCAAGCACAGTAAGATTTAGGATTAACCTTTAGACATTGCTCTGTGAAATTAAGATCTTTTTGGTATAATTCGTTACGTTCACTAAAATTCAAAATTTTATCAAAATTAATATTAAACTTCTAAGACAAATTTTCAAAAAGTAGGTATGTAGGTACTCGTTATCACAAATAGCCAGAAAACACTCTCTTCTAATATTCCATAATGTTGTAACATCTGGATTCTTTTGCAGTATATGACCTGTTAACACAAGCATCTCAGCGTCTAATTCATTATTTTCTCTTTTTTTAAAAATCTTTTCCATTCCAGCTAAGTAAGCTTTAGCTTTAATAGCTTGTTCTTTCTTTTTTTTCGCCTCCTCCTCAGCTGTAGTTCTAACCTTTAGTCTACCGTGCTAAAATAAACCTAATTAATATTTGTCACAATTAAACAAATTTTCTAATTATATACCATTTTTATAAATGAACCAATTTACTATTATTCCAAGAAAATATTTAATAAAAACACAAGGCACTTCAAATTAATTTTAAGAAATTTTTTGTTTCATGAAATTATAAACAAAAAATTAGTCACCAGGCAGTGATTGCTGAAATTATAAAAGTCAAAGTTTTGACAACTTTCACCACATTATATTTTCGCGAACTACAATTTTTGCAGTGTTGTGTTGTTCAATGTTTTCGTTGATTCTTGTTTGAAGTTAAGAAGAATTGTCGTAGAATGAAGAATTGTCTTAGTTTGCGTAAAATCCTTTTTGACTAATTTTCATTAGCGTATTTCAATATATAATAGGTTTTTAATCAAAACTAATCAGGATTAGTTATTTCATGAAAATAATTGTTTCATCTAAAAGATAAAACTCCAATTATTGTACATATTATTATTAACATTAGGTGCTGGAAATATATAAAACATAGGAAAACCAAAATTAATTAAATTATATTCTTTTCAACAGAAGCGCCACAATATTTCATGTGTTAAATATAGAAAGCATTCAAATAAAATTTAATGTAACGAAACAATTGTATGAAACAATTCACCACTTTATTCAGCGATGCTGAGTAAATATAAATTGGAATTTAAACTCGTGAAAACCTTTGATTGGATCGTTTGTATTTTATTTGTTAAACATTAAAAATAGCAGTCAACTTATCAGTTACAAAGTCTAGTAAATATTAGAGATATTTCTACCAGTTTTAAAAAAATAGAAAATGATTGGAATGAAAAATGATAATATAATTATAAATCTATAAATTTTTGTGAAAATAGTGATCAAAAATTTGACTCAAATATGGAGAACCCGATTCTCCTCAAAATCACAAAACAAAAATATATTAAAGGGAACAATATATTGGTAAGTAAGCACAAAATTACCGTTATTTTTTGTAATTTCAATAGATTTTAGAAAATAAATTTGTGAAAATATACCTAACTATATTTGTATTGCAATAACACATAAGTGCCTACTAATAAAATATGAAAAAAAAATTAAAGTAGGTACCTGTACTGACAACATAAAATATATCTAAACATAACCTACATTTAGTTTTAAAATCTTTTAATAACAATACTTTCTAGGTTCAAGTGGAAGACATGCAGGCATTTTTAAGTTAAAATATTTAAATAACGCTAACTATAATTTTTTAATGTGTAAAAAAATTAACAATAATTGCCAAATTTTTATCGTTTCTGTGAGGAATTCAAGATTCTTATGTCTTTTACATATTATATATTCTCAATAAAAAAAAATTTGAAGAAAAATCGAATTCTCATCTTATCTGTTTTTGCACTGATAATTGAAAATTTCACTCAATTTTTTTTTCTCCACCAAGTAATGTACTACTTGTAATTCACACAGTTTTTGATGCTCCGTAATAAGATTTACTTATTTTGTCTTAATTTAAAGATTTTGGTTAAAACTTTTGCCAAGTAAAATTATGTTGATTTATTGAGATATGAGAGAAAAACGTTGTTACGCTTAATAATATTTCATTGTTTTGTTTTCACTTCATAAAAAAAATTTAATTTTTAAATTATATATTACATAATTAATGTGCTATAGAACATCTTGAGTATTTCTCAACCATTATTGGTGTATAAATTCGTTTATAAAATATTCTTACACGTGTACAATTTACATTCGAAATTTTTTTTCATATTATGCATTTACATAGACATATGTACATTTATTATATAATAATGTTAATTATCTTTGTTTAACTGACGTTTCAATTTAAATATTAAAAATACCACATCTGCGATTTTTCTCACATTATAAATTTCTATGTCAATAATTTGGTACTTTTACTCGCATATCAAACTCATTAAATTTAAAATTTTTTCAAAGTAGATATTTAATTTATAAACGTGCTTTTAAATTTATTCGAAGTATTGAATTTTAAAGCATACTGAAGTAGTACGACCTTATGTCCCTTTTTTTTTATTAGATTAAGAATAAATAAATTTATATTAAAGTTAAGGTTGGTATATAATTAAAAATGTAAATATGTATGTTGAATGAAATGAAAACTGAATAAATCTATACAGTTTATGCAATAAATTAATTTGAACGAAAATTTTTTCACACCTTGTGAAAAAATTCAGATCTTGTACGTAGAAAGATTCTTTTAAAAATTTTCACATACTTAACCATAGATTGTCATTATAATTATGTAATTTTAGAATTTGATAAATCCAAAATTAAGATTAAATAAAACTTATACACCGAATACAAATTTACTTTAAATATTAAATAATTTTTATAAAATTTAAAAATGAAAAACAAATTTTAATACTGTTCTACCTGAATGAAAACTATTGATAACTAACGATAACACATTGCACCCTGTAAGGATTCAATTTCCTCCTCTGTGTTTTTTTTTTTTTAACAGAAATTGATTTTCATTTAATTTTGGCTCCATTCGATTTACTTGTGAATATACACATGAGTATATACATATGAATGCGTAAATATAAACATAAAGCTGAAATCATACTTTCGTTTTATATAAATATATATATTAAATGAAATATATATATTATATTATGCTAAGGATATTATTGCGTGTGCTACAAGGAGACTCCCAATTAATCATATTATTTCAAAATAATGCACATACTTACATACCTTGTTTTGAAATTGAAAGACAGTAAAAATAAAAAGAAACTGTATGAGCTTTTTGAAAGTTCCCAAATAAATTATAAACAAAAAGAAAGGCCCACGTTGGATTTTATGCTTTGTCGTCAGAATAAAACAAAATATTTTTTTTATGTTTCTTTTCTTTCATCCTTCTTTAATTCTCACTCTTAATTTTTCTCTCACCGCTATATTTACAATTTGCCTTTAGTTGAAATACAATATTTATTGATATTTAAAATTCTTGTTATGAGAAAAAGGAATTTTATTTCAATATACGTACTTGTTCTTAAAAATAAAATAGATGTTAATCCGTAATATGTAGTTATAATATAGGAATTGGAAAATTTCTTTCAAAGATTTGAGAGTGGTAATTGAATTTAATACATTTTGGGTAAATTTTATATTATGTGATATATTCAAAAATTCATTTCTACGTTCATAATATGTTTATTCATTCGTAAATTGTGAACAAAAATTTGAATAAATATTTTTGAGGTAGATACATAAAATTTTCTTTTTATAAAAACCTAAGTTATTGTACTTATTCCAAAATTCTCCAATCATTTTTTACAGCAATTTTATTTACATATGAAGAAATATCTCTAATATCTACGGGACTTTGCAACTGATAGATTGACTAATATTTTTCATAATATTATTATTGTTTGTTTATCGAATTAGATCCCAAAATTTTATATAAATTTGTATTCATATGTAATTAAAATAAGACTATTGCAATTGGAAAAAATAATTAAATGAAAAAAATAAGTAAAATGACTCCAATGACATTAACAAATATATAAACATTTTAGTGGTGCAAAAAACATTCTTGGTTTTTTTCATTTTCTTTTCCAAGATTTAAAAAAAAAATCTTAAGTTGAATATAAACTGTACAATTTTAATTTTACTTTACTAAAATTTTTAATCAAAATTATTTTCATTATTTTACTAATATTTAAAAATTTATTCATTCTTACTAAGTATATAGGCCTATTTTTTTTAAATTAAATCATATTATATTATAGGTTAGAATTCTTATAATAAGAAGGAACACATATTTTTTACTCTCCTGAATTTTAAGGATTTTCTCTTTTACAGAGATTGAATAAATTTCCCTTCCTCTAATTATCGCACATGGGAATATTATGTTTAGTAAAAGAAAACTGTGTTGCTGTTTCTGTCAATTATGGCGAAAAGAATATTTTCATAAGTAGAATAACGATACGGTTTAGCAATAAAAATCGTACTTTTATATTTCAAACGTAAATTAAATAGCTTTGAAATGAAACAATATTAAATATTAATTTAAATATAATATATAAGAACAAATGTACATAAATATGTATATGTTATATAAATTAAATTTAAAGTAAACATATTTTATATAAATCTACAATATTCGTTAACATAATTCCTTAACTCTTATTAATTTTATATGAAAAAATATTAACAGTGAAATTTTCACATAAAATTTTTCAAAAGTAAATTTCCTAAAAGAACATACCAAACAAAACAATAATATTGTGGTGACAAAGTATGTACAAACAAAATACATACCAACAATAACATTTTTAATTCTCTTCAAAATGTTTTTTTTTTTTGTTTTCTCTCTCTTATAATCTCAAAAAGCTTTTCTCATTTGTATTATTATTCTTTTCTTCCCGAATTTCGTGTAATTTTAATTTATTGTTTTATTATTATTGTTATTATTAGTTTTTTCTTCTGTTTTCCTATAATATTATTTTATATACATAATATACCTACATATGTATGTACGAGTACGTAATTCAGAATTACTAAAATTCTTATGGTTTTTGAGGTAAGCATGTATGTAGGCAGTATATATGCAGGTATTTATATACAGACATATATGTATTTAAATTTTTTAAATATTCATATATGTAATTCCTACAAAAATATATATAAAATATAAATAAACATAATTATAGTTTCGATATATTTATATTGTACACACATTCATGTATACAGGTACATAAGTAGTATATATACATATGGAAGCTCATGTTGTATGAATGAGACTGGGTCAGAGTCAAAGAGATTTTTTTTTTTGGTTTTCTTTTTCTGTTTTCTTTTCATAATATTTTGGTTATGATTTTTGTATTTTACTATATACAACAACACATTATACTAGTATTGTTGTTGTTATTATTTTTTTGGTTATAGTTTTTCATCAAAAAAGAAAATAAAAAATAAAACACAAAAAAAAAACCAAAAAAATTCTTAGCGAATTTTCAATTTTTTCTTTTTATTTGTTATTTTGTTATTTTTGTTTTAGTTTTTACGTATTTTTCTTCATCATAATATTCCGTAGAGTTGAATAGAAAGTTCTGACTCGCCGATCGACCAGGGCGGGTTTTCTTTTCGTTTATCGTACAATTTTGAGAATTTAATTTTTTTATTTATACTTTAATTTTTTAATATTA